ACCATTTCTTTTCGAACATCCTGCCCATCCCGGTCAGTACATCCTGACGGCAGTACCTTTGACCGTATACTCGGTGTGTAAACAAGTTCGTCTCCACTCTTTTCCTGCTGAGCTGAGGATACCGCATCCGCCGTCTGCCGAGATATTAAATCCTTCTGATTTTCACCCAGGCTTGTGATGCTTGTTATCTCCAACTGACCATCGACACTGTTCTCACCATTTAGCTCTGCCACACATTCAACGTTTCTCGTGGCAGGTGTATTCTGGCTTTCTCCATTAACTATTTTCGACCACCAAATTATTTAGCCAGCACAGTCACTTAATTTTACCTGCAGCAATAGGGTTTTTATGTCAGCGGAACGCCTTTTTTGTCGTCGGCACACATCTTTTCATCATCCGCACACCTCTTCATTTTCCTCACACTGCTTCTCTTCAGCCTTGCTCCTTTATATTTTACATGGCACTGTTAAACAATTTTCTAAGATTGCTCAAGCTTGCTATCATCCACTCCTGAGGCAAGTGATGCCTGAATAATGAGTCTTCCATGCGGCATTCACCACGTCCACTCTCAATTCCACTCAAAGCAATAACAAATCAGGCTTGCGTAGTGACTTTAGATCTATGACCACAAGCTCAGTGAACTCTTCTCCCTATCTATTCTTCATCAATATCACGAAGTGCTATTACGCAAAGGGGCTGAACATTGGTGCAGAAAACCCGCCAGCTTCAAGCCACAAAACTATCCTTAAACGCCTGGGAAATTTTAAAGGGAAAAGTTCCCACACTCACGTTGCTGCAGTGATGGGTTCTGTTGCAATGTCCACGTTTTGGCTGCCTCAAGTTGCAAGGTTCACTGCCCAAACTAGTAGTTAGGAAGAGGCTCCAACAATCTCTCGAGTAACGTGCCGTGAGGACCAATGCCGAGCAGGGAGCATCCAGGCAGTGGCAAGGCAAAAGGCAGAGAGGGGGAAAGAAAGCATTTATATTTACAACGGATGTGCTGAACGTGGACAAGGAAGCCACCCGATGCTAGATGCGCCAGTTTTTTATAGGCGTTGAGATGCTAAAGAAGGAGGGGGCAGTTCCGCTGTTCGACGCACGCACCCTGACGGATGCCTCTGGTGTCTGCGAAGAATGCGCCCAGTGTCCCTGATGCACACATCCATTGACCGTAATGGGCACACTCAGTGTCTCTGCAAGGGACGCCAGCACACTCGTAACAGCACCAACAACGCAACTGAGGCACTAGCCAAACGGCGGCACTGGCGAAGGGCGCGTGTACTGGGGGGTGCAAACTGAGCCACAGGAGCATTCGTGCCTCGCCGTGAGAAACATGCGTCACAAAAGACTACTAATAGTCATTGAAAGCACAGTCACAAACACTGAGTGAGTATCACTGGGTGAGTCACACTCACAGCAGAAAACATACACAGAAACGAAGAAAACAGACACCGTTGCAAGAAACTCAGCAGCATCTCTCGCTGACGCAAGGGCTCAGAAGAACTCGTCGGTTTACACTGGACGCTCGAAAAAGACCCCGGTGAGCGATGGGAAGGAAAATGATAAGTGTAACCTTAAGAGACAAGAAGAGAGCAGAGTGGGTCAGTGAGTGTTAAGGATATGATAGTTGAAATCAATATGGAATGGACATGGGCTGGGCACGTAGCACGTTGACAGGATAACCGCTGGTGATTAAAGACAACTTACTAGATTCTTAGAGAAGGCAAACGCTCAAGGGGTGACAGAAAGTTAGGTGAGCCAATGCGATTAAAAAGTTCGCAAGTATAATGTGGCAGCAGAAAGCACTAGGCCGTGTTGACTGGCGGATAATGAGAGAGGCCTTGGGAGAGGCCTCTCCCATGGATCTCCCATGGATCATGGGAGAGGCCTAGTCAAGCTGGTGATGATGATCACTGTGTATGCTGCTGTAAGGTGGCAGAATTGCACATAGGTCTGCCATCTTGCCCGCAGAGGCGTCCATGTCATGCGGGAAAGCCACCCCTTCCGAGTGTCGGAGTCGACGCTGCTTAGCGGCGCTGTATGCTTTCTCGCTCGTCCGTAACCCGCCGCTGGTGCAATTACTTTCGCTTCGAAAAAAAAAGCAGAATTAGAACAAATAATTGCTTTAAATAATACTGCTGCAATAGCTTGTTTGATGAGAGTCACCATAGGAAGTTATATACATATATCTATACAGTGCAGTCCACTTATAACGATACCACATATAACGATATATCGGTTATAACGATGGGTCGACTTAACAGTCTCATTTTATGCATTGGGGCTATGGGGAAAAAAACCATATATAACGATATGTTATCCACCGCATATCGGATACAACGATGAAAAGTTTGCCGTGGATGGCATGTTTCATTCAGAATAATCGTAACATTTAGATTGATAAGTTCCTCTGAAACGAACTATGCCGAGACAAGACGAAAAGTTAGCGTAGGCGAGTACGTATCTGCCGCCACTGCAGGACAGCGCCGGCAGCGCGTCCCGGCCGTTCAAAAAGCCGAGGAGAGCATCGCGAGTTGGCGCGACGCGCTACAGATGGCGCCAGCTGTGTCACGTTTTGCGCCTCGCCGCGCGTCGACCGCGGAGAGGCTGAGAGAATTAAAAAAAAAAAATGCGACAAGCAAAGCGCCGCGCTCCGCGGCTCCCCGCCTTCTACAACGGCAAGCCGGCAAGCTACTCGTAGCTTGCCGAACGAAAGCGGGAAAGAGAGAGAAAATAAAAAAAGCGAAAAGCAAAGCGGCGCGGCGGCATGGGGGCGGGGCCTCGTTGGCATTCCGGCTGTGTACCTCTGGCTGTGCTTTCTTCCTCCCACTGCTCCGACCCCGCCGTAGGTCAGTCTCTCTTCCTCAGCGAACCCGTGATGCGTTCTTCGGAGTAAGAAATAAAGTCTTGTTTTTGACATCCTACTATCTACAATATTCATTAATTGGTGAAAATGGCAAAATGAAGCCTGGAGCTACAAAAGGTACGTCCGGCGACGATTTTTTGGCGGCAGTCCAGATATAACGATCACCGGTTATAACGATCATATTTTTAGGTTTTCTCGATATCGTTATAAGTGGACTGCACTGTATATTCGTTTTTTGAATACGATACAAGAGAACCTTCACTTAATTTGTTGAGAATTGTGTACAGGGTTCTCGAGAAATTAAGTTCCACAAATCGTTCGTTCCAGGTTGTTTTGATGCATCACTTTAAAAGATGAAGTAGGTAGCTCGTAAAACGATTGCTTGAACAATCATTCCGTGCATTACAAATAACGCAAGCAAATGAGAGTTTTCGGCATTTATCTACGCAGCTGTGGCACAAAGTAAACACTCGGTGAGGCTTCTAATGCAATGCTGCACGGTGCTCGAACCGAGTTATACTGTTTTGATAGACCTGTGGGTGAATATTCAAACATTCACTCGCTCACAATTCTATCGTTCTGTCCCGTTGGATGCATGTCGACGAGTGTACGCAAAAGAATATAAACCCAGTTTCTTATCGCTCTAATCGCAAAAATATTGAATGATATTTTATAACTACACTTCATAATCATATGTCAGTCAGGCCCGACGTCTATAGTGGTGCGCATTTTGGAACGTACTGTAACGCTAGAATAAGTAGCGAGTCATACGGAACTGTCGGCACATTCAGCCTGTAGTCGAATGTGTGGACTTCGCAGCACTGAGTAACCGCACCGCGCCACACTAGCACCACTGACGTTCCCTAAAAACGAACAACACAAAACTGAACATCAATGAAGTACATTTTGAACTCAGCTTGATCGCTGTGGTGTTGGCTTTCCCTTAAAAAGATGATTTTTGCACACTTGAGTGTGCTTGGGGAATGAAGGTGCGAGCGACAAGTTCCATCACAGGTGGTACTCTAATATCTAAAGGTAGCATACAGTAACTCTAGATTTGAGTAGACTTAATTTAGACGGGCGTTTTGAAGTGATGCTCCAATTTCTCAATTAACCACATAATCACTAATTATGTGATATATTTTAGGATTTACAATTCAATTTCGGTGGCACCAGGAAGCAAGTTACACATTCTAAAGTTAAAAATGTCACAAGCATACATGGGTTCTTTGAAAGGACACATTAAAGGCAATGTGAAATAACCAATTGATTTAGACTAAAGAAATGTAGTCTTAAAACATTAGTGTCATTAATTTCAACACGATCGGTTTGTTAATAGGTGATGAAATCAGTCAAGGATTTATTTTTTAATTTCTTTCCGAAAGCTCTGGATTACATCACAGATTCGAGTGTTTTTTTCGTACTTCGAGCACTCGCTCAACAAAACTTTGGTTTGGTACGTTATATTTCTACCTGCTTCAAAAGGCGGTGTGTACTTCAATTTTACCGGTTAGTGACTAAGTAGACTCTATCAGATGCCGACTAATTCTACGGCGCCACGGTGACTGGCGCGGAAACTTTTATACAGCATCGCCATCGCATTTCAATCTGGTGCTCTTACCAAGCGCCTTCTCACAGCAATCATGAATCATGATGGGTTTGGTACCAGGAAACAGGAATTTACGAATATGAGAAGAATCATTCTTTGTTTCTTGTCGCCCATTTAAAGAAGTAGTGACACACTTTAAACATTTTCGGATTATTGCTCCTAATAAAAGGACTGGTGTGATGAACACTGAAAGCAGTACTCTTGTGCCTGGTAATGCATCTAATACGTTTGTTTTAATACCAGGGACATGACCAGAAATTTTTCTTTTTTTTTTTTTTTTTTGGAGGGACACCTCTTTGATGTCAAGTAGGAGACAGATAGACAGATGTGGTCGAGGGTCACTTTTTGATCTGCATGCCATGGCCAAAAAAAAAGGGGGAGGGAGGGGGCTCAGTTGAGCCGTCTCCTGGATGCGCCACTGCTCCAACTTAGCTGAACACACGGACTTTTGGCATCGATACCGAGGGGCCGATTTCTCAGTGACACATCATTGCAGTTCGATGTCATAGGGAGACAACAACTGCTTGAAGGCATGGTGCACCAGTTTTTAATACCTTTAGATACAAGGATACGTTTGCTTAACGTACGCTTTATAAAAGATTATGTGCCTAACGGGTCCAATTGTGCATGTATATTTGCCAGTGCGTATTTCTCCAGCTGCATGGTTCACCGTGATGTCAATTTATTGTGAATAAACAAATACAGTAAAAGCTCGTTTATCCGGAGCTCAGAAATTTGGTTAACTTGGACATGTGGCGCAGTCCCGGCACAACTGTGTATATTTCAATTGTATACACTGCTCGTTAATTCAGAGAGACTTAGATGCGCACCGGTTCACTCAGACCATAAAGGTAATAACTCTATGACTCGGACGATTCCAGAGAGGGCTATCGGCGGCTTCATGCTTTCAGTAACCGATTCCGATTATTGAAAGCAGTAAGTCCCGGCTCCGCCGGGCGGAACCGAAGTTTTGGAGAAACCCACATTGAACGAAGAGCAGCAGAATATGATCATGATGATAGTGAATGAGGAGGGAAGTGGCCTGATGGCACCAGTCACCACCTGGCAGAAGCGCTTGAACCGACAGTACATCCAGTGTCTGTGAAATGTGCCAAACATGGTGCCAAATTTGCGGACGACGGGACAGTTTGCGCAGCTGCCGCTACCCGATTGCCCGCGACGCCTACACTGCTGATTTCTTTGCGTTGAGACTTTGCGCATAGCATGTGCAGCTCGAGTACATCAAGAAAGTTGACTGTTGGGCGAGTTGGCGCTTTGACATAGAAACCGTCATTACATTCTCAGGCGTGTTGATGATGGTGTGGTCGTTGCCGGTTTGCTGACTGATGATGACATATTATTGAAAGTGCTTAAAAAGGTTCATAATCATTGTTCCAATGATTACATTCAAGATGAGCCGATGCGATATCACACCGTGCAGGAGGCCGCCGAAGCCTTCGCTGTCCTCGCGGAGTTCTGCATCAGTTTTCATGACAGCGAGTGGGCACACCACCACCACAGGGAGTTGAAGAAGATTGTTCAGCACTATTCGATGACAAGCCAGACAAAGGTGAGGCAGTTTTTCATGAAGTAAAGGTTTGTCTGGGCGGAGTACATTTTCCTTTTGTTTTGATGGATCATTTGATAATTCTGTACTCAGTTAACTCGAACATTTTCACCGGACCCGTGAGATCCGGGTTAACGAGCTTTTGCTATAAGTAAAGGGATAAACTACAAGGATAAACTTACACTGCACTATATCAGATGATCTTTCACCTTATTGTGGAGCAGGTGAACATGAAAGGTGAGTGAATTATCATCCAGTGATTTCTTAGATTGAGGCTACATGCAGGATGCAGAGTCGCGTGGGACTGTATTGACTCACTGGGATAATGTCCATTGTGCTGGGGCTGGCTTGCTGAGAGACCTTAACACCAAAGTAAAACTATTTATACAGGTTGTCCGACTCCTGCATTAACCCCAAGGAAAAAAAGAGTATCCTATTCACAGTATGGGAAAACCGCGTAAGTTTAATTGTCCTGATGTTTTTTCCGACCCACTTTCGACTTGAGCGGTTCGAAGAAGTTCAACAAAATGTTCTGCAAAAGCCGATTCGAACAAAACTGCTCAACTTGACGGAGGCAGCATTTTGTATGGATTGAGAATCCCGAGAGGGTCGAAAGCACACTTAAGGCTGCGCATAGCCTGCAGAGCAGCGGGCGTCTTGCACAGGTGCAAGAAGCGTTTCTTGTGCAGACCGATTCCGTGCTCAGCGCTGATGCTTCCCCGCACAGAGGCCGTCCACTCATAGACGAACGGCTCAATGCACTGCAGCAGTGTATCATCCCAGCCAGCGGCGGTAATGTTCAGGTGCAGGTTGGAGTCGCCCATGTGCCCAAAGCCGCACACGCGCATTGCGCAGGTGCCTCGAACCCGCTCGCGGACCAAGGACACCACATCCATGTAAGTGGCCAGTGGCACCGAGATGTCGTACTTGTATACGTAGCCATCGTGACGCAGGGCTTCACCGATGCTCTCACGCAGGCGCCACAGTTCCTGAAAACATCAAAGCTCTTTAAATGGATGCAAGAAGCATTGTTTGGTTTGCACAGCACAAACTTAGTGGTGTGAGAGATATGCCATTTGTAGCAACGAGTTTCCCCAGCTTCCTCTGTCTGTATTTGAGCATACATTGCACCGAATTTCAATTTGGGCAACAAAATTATCTTTCTAAATGAAGCACTAGGAATGCTGTTGGCATAAACTTACTGGTAACTAGGGATAATTATAACATGTTTAACCATGAAGCAGGAACAAATAAAACAAAAAGGATACAAAAGAGAAAAGTGTGTGACAGGCTGGAGCAAGAAGTGTTGGCAAAAAAGGTTCCATTTCAGTGCTCCATTAAGCAAGTTTCTAGGTTTGTAGGCTGTATAACTGCGAAGATATGTTTTGTGCCCATGCCACGTGGGAAAATGTACATCACCCGAATTGGCCAGTACAGGCTTTCGAAGCAGAATGGGCCATTAGCAACCAGTGCTAACTTTCACATTAGATGGCATTGCTCAGATTGTGGTTGTACTCTGCTGTTCCCTGAGACTAAAATACTTTCCAGTCACAGGAACTATGGAAGTTATCGAGGCATTCCACATCGCTAAAAAGAAAGATAATTGCATTATTGAAGCATCACTTAGTGTAAGCGATTGCAAAATGTTCTTTGAAAAATCACCGACAAATGCCTAACATGAAGGTCATTGCAACACATGGTACGTGATAATGTTGTACGTTAACCATGTTTTTTTGCGAAATAAACTATAGGGAACCAGCGGCCCTGGCGGTCAAAGCACGCACTTCTCAGTCGTTCCCACAGGTGAGAGTGGTGGCTGGTAGAGGAAGTGCGGGCGTGTAATACCGAAACAAAACCAAAGGGCACTGGTAGTACTGCTGGTATTCAACTTCAACAATAGTTACAAATGATGGTAAATACATCTCTGTGCATTTTTCCTTAACAATATTAACAATAAGGAAGGAGGCAGCCTTGCATTTAAGTGATCAGACTAGCAAAGTATGTTCTGCTCTCACTCTCCTGCCTAGTGGTGTTGGGCTGGTTTCTGAACCGAATTGCGCCTGTCTGCTAAGTTTATTCGATAATAAAGACGAACCACTACTGGATACCAGGAGGATACAGCCGAATTTATACGGTGTTTTGCGGGAAGTAAGAAGAGCATATTATGCACCATATGGCATACGTAAAAATTAATTTATCTGACCACCCGCACCCAACTCCATCTGATGACCCCACTTGAAGTGAATGATACAATTACGTAGCCTACATAATTTGCAGAAAGTAACAGCGGCCTGATTCGCATGGACGGTGGTGCCAGATTTTCCTATAAGTACTGTTGTGAGTTGCTCTATGCCCTATAAACGTCACACCCTGGAGTTTTGCAGACACGTAGCGCCACCTGACAATGGAGTTTTGGGTTGTCCAAAGGCCGACTCCCTTGCACAGTTGGCTGCACAACAAGGTGCAACAGCGCATGTGAAACGACAATTGAGCTGAATATTAGGTGTGTTTGCGCATGAACCCTCAAAGAGCTACAAAACTACCTCTGCTAGTCGGACGTGTCACCGAACCACCATGAAGTGCTTGCTGGTTCACTCACCAGAAAGACGACAAAAAAAAGAGCAGATGAAACAGCTACGAAGAGAGACTTCAGTCGATGCCACACTGTTGCATTGTACTAGTGATTTCTGCAGCTGTAGTGAAGCACAACCGCAAGAGTGCTGAATACTGTCCGTTGTGAACGTATATTCAGTAAGCGAATGATTCGCGTTCTTTACAGCCGGTCGCACGAGAAAATGTGACAATGTAGGCCTACTGTAATTGTTTTGAGTAGCCTTGACGAATAACTGTGGTAACTTTGATGATAAAGCTCAACAGAGCCTTTGATCACGATGCGCACCGTGTTAAATGCACACTGATGACGCTCATGATAAACATCACAAAAGCCAGGACCACCAGTAATATGAAGTGACCGTCACCACACAGTATCACGCATGTAGGCTTTGAATACTTTAAGTTACGACTTTAACTAGCACATGCAAGTATGTATGCCATGGAGATAAATGACCATGTGTTGGTCATGTGCACAATAGAGTTTTTTTTCCCGTTGGTCTCCCTGATTGCCAGAGCTATCTCAGAGGCCTTGGTATCCTCATGGTACACAGAGAAAAAGGACATGCTGCATGTATCCCCATTTGCAGTGTATATGTACATTCAACGCGAAAGACAACCACCAATATAACATTCCAGGATGCTATCATCGTCATCGACGTCGACACCTACGGCACCAGCTGATTTAAAAGGATGGCCGGCCGGCAGTCTCTTCAGTGGGCACGGGAGCAGTTCGGACAGCATGTTTGATGCACCCCGCTTTTGCATTTCACAGGTGCGTAAGATATTCTTGTTATATATTAAAAGAAGCGACAACTGTTGGTTGCTAGTTCTGCCGTGCCCCGAAGTGCTTTGTGAAAGTATTTGTGAGTGTATTTCTATGATGCTACTCTTGATACACTCGAATGATGTAGAATTGAATCTTGGGCCGTGTAATACTCGTTCCGGAGCACCCCTCGAAGTTGAATCACTGCCAAGCGACCCATCCGACCAAATGACTGCAATCTTAACTACACTCAAAGACCTCCAGGTGCGTTCAGTGCAGTCAGCTAGCAGTTAGGCCGATCTCGTGGCTGACATTAAGGCAATCAAAGGTGGGCAGAAAAACATAGAGGATAACTTTCGTGAAGTAAAGAAACAGGTCGATGCCTTAGAAGTAAAAACTAAAGCGCTAGATCTTGACAACAGTGCCACCCAGGAATCAGTAAAAACACTAACAGATCAAGTTGATTCCCTGCACCTGCGCATAAACGAGCTAGAAGACAGGTCGCAACACAATAACCTTTTATTTTACGGCATTCACGATAAGCGTGAAAAGTGGGAAGAATGTGAGGTGAAAGTGCTTAATGCAATGGCAGGTGTGATTGATCCGTTGCCAAGTGGAGCAATAGAAAGAGCCCATCGACTTGGCACCTTTTTAATGCCAAATGTCATCCTAATATTGTCAAGTTTGCTAGCTTTAAAACAAAAGATAAAATACTCGGGGTCCATAAGAAGCTTAAAGAGAAGGACGTATCTGTTTCCGAAGATTTTTGCTTGGCCACATGTCAGATTCGTAAAAAGCTTGCCACATAAGCAAAAATCTAACAGGATGAGCCCGCATTTTAACTACGCTACAAAACGCTAGTGATCAACAAAGAACAATTCACATACAGCCCAGTCACAGACAACATAACCGTTACCCAGCGAATACCACGTCTAACTACTCAAAACGTGAACTCTTCTCCACGACAGACATCCTAGGGGGACGCGAGGGGTAGTGGACATAATCTATGCAACATATCTGTTCTGTTTTGTAACATCCGTAGTATTTGCAATAAACGAGAATCATTGGCATTCGCCATTGACAGCTTTGCTCCGACATCTTAGTATTAACAAATACTTGGTTGACATCACAAATTTCCAACAATGAAACAATTTTCTCGGCTCATCAGTTCTCAATCTACCGCTGTGATCACCCAAAAGGTCGAGGCGGTGGTGTTATGCTAGCCATTTTCAATAACTTTTCATCATCATACATACATGTACAGAGTGACTTAGAGAAAGTAGTCCTAGCTGTCTGTTACCGCCCCCAACGCACAGTACAACTTTTGTTAATAAGCTACAAGATGTTACTTACTCTGTTCGAACTTGGTACCCGAATCTCCCAATATTTTTTTTTAGGTGATAATTTCCCCCCATAACGTGGTATACCGCTTCCCTCTCTATTACTCCTTTCACTTCTCTAGCCCAGGAATTTGTAGACTTGCACAACATTCTCATTTACCCAAGTTGTCAAACAACCAAGCAGAACTACTCAGACCACTGCAAACAGTCTTGACCTCGTATTAACCTCGTATTGACCTCATATTAAGACTTAATAACAGCAATCAGTCACTTACCCTGTTTGAGCGACCTTTTCTTGTTATCGTTCTTTATTGACCTTGTCGATTCCAAAAATGGCAAAATCAACCAAAGTGATACCTAACTATAAAAAAGCTAACCTTGAAGTTATCAATAACCATTTAGGCAGTTTTCTTGAAACATTTCTGATGAATTTTGATAAACAAAGCGTACAAGAGAACTGGGATTTGTTTGCAGCAAAGGTGAAAGAGCTAACACAAAAATTCATTCCTACTTACACTACTGAATCTGATCAAAAAACGCCATAGTGCAACGGTCATTTAAAATGGTTATCTAACAAAAAGAAGTGCCTCTACAAATCAGCGAAGCAATCTTCATCTCCCGCACGCTGGTATTCCTATAAGGCCGCACATGACGCTCACGTAGCAGCAATAAAGAACACCAAGATTAACTTTCTACAAAGCACATTTCCTTGCCTGTTAACAACAGACACGAAAAAGTTTTGGCGTACTATCAATCCGAGTAGTAAGCAGCAATTAACACTAATCGACACTGATGAAACAGCTATTCCTACTCGTATGCGCGCAGCCGCTCTTAATGTCGCGTTTACGAGAAACTTTTGGCGGAACACTAACCCTCCCTTACCCCCCACCCCCTAATATGACTATGTTGCAATAGTGCCTATCACTATCGACGTGGGTGGCGTAGAGAAACTTATAAAATCACTTAAACTTTCCTCTGCTCCAGGTTGTGAAGAAATGTGCCCCAAATTTTTAACTAACACATGCACCTATTCCTCAATTATATTGTAACGAACAAATACAGTGCCGGAAGCTGAAACAGCTATTTATTAATGGCGAACTTGTGCCCGTCAACTAAATACACAAAGGTTGTGAGCTCACTGGTCAAAACCTCGTCAACTTCTCTTGCATCTCGCCTTGAGCTGTCCTCGAAAAACCGCCAGCGTTTTTGTCCAGCGCGTGATGTGGTGACACCTGCAGCCAGCGTTGCATGGCGCGTTTATAGCTTGGGGCGT